AACCTTCCTTTTCACTCACAGATCACAACAAAACTAGTTTAACTGATCTAGCCTTTCCTTGTGATATCCTGCTAAAGTTAGTGCAACGTAACCTTCCTTTCCACTCACAGATCACAACAAAACTAGTTTAACTGATCTAGCCTTTTCTTGTAATATCCTGCTGAAGTTAGTTCAACGTAACCTTCCTTTTCACTCACAGATCACAACAAAACTAGTTTAACTGATCTAGCCTTTCCTTGTGATATCCTGCTAAAGTTAGTGCAACGTAACCTCCCTTTCTACTCATAGATCACAACAAATCTAGTTTAACTGATCTAGCCTTTCCTTGTGATATCCTGCTAAAGTTAGTGCAACGTAACCTTCCTTTTCACTCACAAATCACAACAAATCTAGTTTAACTGATCTAGCCTTTCCTTGTGATATCCTGCTAAAGTTAGTGCAACGTAACCTTCCTTTCACTCACAAATCACAACAAAACTAGTTTAACTGATCTAGCCTTTCCTTGTGATATCCTGCTAAAGTTAGTGCAACGTAACCTTCCTTTCCACTCACAAATCACAACAAAACTAGTCTAACTGATCTAGCCTTTCCTTGTGATATCCTGTTAAAGTTAGTTCAACGTAACTTCCCTTTCCACTCATAGATCACAACAAAACTAATTTAACTGACTTAGTTCTGCGTCCTAAAGCTAGTTTAACTAATACATCCTTGACAGCTAATCATATTAACGCTAGTTTAACCAAACTCACCCTTTACGTTTCAAAATAAAAACGTTTATTGTGAGAATGATGGCGGAAAACTATGTGTCATACCAAAAAATTAGACTAGTTAAGAGAAAAAAAAAAGATGAGTTCTTTGTTAATTCATTGGTTAACGAAACTTAATGTTTAAAAAAACAGTTTTAGACTAACTAATACATATTTTCCACTCAGATTGTTTTGGTTAGCAAAGTATTTGCAGTAAATATGACGGATATTTTTGCGCCTCGTTCCAATAGTTTTGTCTATAAAGCTAACTGTTTCATTTAATCCGATACCTGTGAGTAAAGTAACTGAAAGACGGAGACTGTTTGTTTGTTTGTTTTAGAGCAAAGTCACATTGAGCTATCTGCTGTGTCCATCGCAGGGAACCAAACCCCAGATTTTAACGTTCTAAGTCTGTTAACTTACTGCTGTCCCATCGGGGGACAAAACGGAGACGGAGAACACTGAAACTTTCTTTCTGAACCCTAAACTCAGTATCGATTTGATGACAGAAAGAAAGAAAAGAAAAAGTATGTTGCACAAATTTTTCTAAAAGTTTTTTGTTCAGTATGAGGTATTAAACAAATGTTAAATATATTCAGTATGAGATATTAAACATATGTTAAATATATTCAGCATGAGATATTAAACAAATGTTAAATATATTCAGTATGAGATATTAAACAAATGTTAAATATATTCAGCATGAGATATTAAACAAATGTTAAATATATTCAGTATGAGATATTAAACAAATGTTAAATATATTCAGTATGAGGTATTAAACGTATGTTAAATATATTCAGTATGAGGTATTAAACAAATGTTAAATA